GGGGAGACCTGGGTGCTTGTCTTCTGGAGTTGTCATGAGGATCAAATCACTTAATCATGCGTTGTTTGTGGCAGAGCTGGCCCATGGCAAGCATCAGTACACCATAATGCCATGTGCTGGAGTCTGAACTTAGGTTATCAGGCTTGGTGGCAAGTGGCCTTACCCACTTAGCCATCTCAACACCTCCCTGGCTTTTTGGTTTTTCTTTTTGTTTGAAGGATGATGCAGTACGGAAATTAGATGTAGTCTTCTTAACCCCAACCTCTTCGGTACAGATGGTTGTCAGAGCTGCCTTTGGGTGTTTCTCTCCCAGTTCTCAGGTGTTTACTCCATAGCTGTGATTTTTCTGTGCATGTTACAGGATGTGTGCACAATTTTAGGATCACATTGTATGCAAACAAAGTTAATGCATACTTGAAGGAAATTGGTGTTTATTATTGTGTGTCTATGTGCACATGATGCATGTGTGATGACACATGTGTCACGGAGTGTGTGTGATGGTCAGAGGACAGCTTTGTGGAGTCCCTTCTCTTTGACTTCACATGGGAAATCAAACTCACATTGCCAGGGGCATCCTTCACTCACTGAGCCATTTCAGCGATTCAGTTGTTTTTTAAAAGGTGTTTGTTTAGTCATGTATGTGATGCACTTATGTGCCTGTGCATGCATGTAGAGAGGCCAGGAGAAGGCATTGGTATCCTCTTCCACCACTCTCTGTTCCTCCCTCTGAACCAGGGTTTTCACTAGGTTGGAAGCCGGCAAGAAAATCCCAGTAATCCTCCTGTCTCTGCCCCCTTCAGTGCCTTGAGGTTACTGGGATTTGCCCAGATTCCTGGCATGTTATGTGCATGCTGGGATTAGAACTCTGTTCCTTAAGATTCTGGAGCAAGTGCTCTTAACCACTGAGCGTCTCTCCAGCCACTTTAACTTGGTTTTTTGAGACAGGGTCTCTATTTGTCCTGGCTGCTTTAGAGCTTGTTATGTAGACCGGCCTCAAACTCACATAGATTCTCCTGCCTCTGTCTCCCGAATGCTGGGAATAGAGGCCAAACATTTAAAAAAGAGATTTATTTTATCCATGTGGGGGTTTTGCTTGAATGTATGTCTGTATATCACGTGCATGTCTTTAGAGGTCAGAAGACGGCACTGAATCCCCCAGAGCTGGAGTTACAGATGGCTGTAAGCTGTCACATAGGTACTGAGAACTGAATCTAGATCCTCCGCAAGAGCAACAAGTGCTCTTAATTGCTGAGCCATCCAACCCTGACCTACTTTTTTCCCCTTTTTTTTTTTGAGACACATTATATGTAGCTCAAGAAATACCTTCTTGCCTCAGTCTCTAAAATGCTGGAATCATTCACATGTCTTTTGTGCACATGTGTGTTTGTCTAGAATAAATACAAACATGTTTGAGAACAGTTTGGTTCCAGGGGATGTTTCCCTAAACTTGTGGTGGTGGTGATGTATATATATGCCATAAGGTGCATATGGAAATTAGTGGTCAACTTTGTGGAGTTGGTTCCCTCCTTCCCACTTATGTGGGTTCTGGGCATCGAACTTAGGTCACCAGGCTTGAGCTGCAAGCACCTTTACCTGCTGAGCCATCTCATCTCATCTCCTGTTAAGTCTGTCTCCCTTGCTGGGGTTGTTGCTGTCATGATAATCTTTCTGGAATGTTGTTCTATATTTTTTTGTTGCTATTTTCGAATTTAGGATCTCATTTGTTACTTCAGTGTCTTGTCCCTCATGGACAGATTGCATTCAGCATTCCTTCAGCAGCTTGTGCATTTTTGAGTTGAGAGGGAGTTGCTAGATAAGTTAGGCAAGCCACTCTTGGATGGGAGTAAACTGAACCAGTGGGGGATCTGTTTGTTGGAATCTGAGTTAAGCAACTGAGTTCAAAGTTCAGTGTAGAGACAAGCTTTTTCCAACAGTCCTCTTGGGCTCTGGTCAGTGTGGCAGTGACTTAGAAATGGCTGGGTCTCAGACAAAAACATCAGAGCAGGCTATCCTAGTCTGCAGCCTCCCTCCAGGATCCTTGGTGTGGAGCTGTCAGCTTTGCTTACATCCCAACAGAACATTGTTTTGTTTCATTCCAGTTAGGCTTTGAAGTTTCAAAGGGAACATTTTTCCTTAAGGGAAGTAAAAACAAAGCACAAATACAAAGGAAAAGTAATTTATAAAAGCTGCTTCATCCATCTATCTATTTAGTTGAGAGAGAGGGTTTAATGTAGTTTAGGGAGCCAAGGCTGGCCTTGACCTCCTGATGCCTCTGCCTTCCCCAGTTCTGGCTGGTGTTATAGGAGTACACCTTCATGCCTTCATTGAAAACAGGTTTCTTTCTTTCATTCGTTCTCTCTCTCTCCCTTTCTCCCTCTCTCTCTCTTTTATTTTTTTGAGACAGGGTTTCTCCGTGTAGCTTTGGAGCCAGTCCTGGAACTCACTCTGTAGACCAGGCTGGCTTTGAACTCACAGAGATCCACCTGCCTCTACCTCCTGAGTGCTGGGATTAAAGGCATGCACCACCACTGCCCACAGGTTTCTTAATTACAGTTACTACAGAGAACCTGGCTCTAGGACTGAGACTCATTGCTTCTCCTCAATGAATGAGCTTTACCGAGGGCTCTCCTTGTCTTGTTCCTCTGAGTCCCTTGTGTGTTCTCAGTTTTTCCTCTGTGGCTGGTGGGAAAGAGCCAGAGACTCTTCTGTCCCTTGAGGACAGAAATGGGTCATTTCTCCTAACTACAAAGAGAAGTAAATACCAGGTATCTGGTAGCTATGAGTGGGCCCACATGAGGTATCAGTGTTCCCATTTGGTTGTTTCTATATGAATGGGTCTCACCATGTTGTACAGGCTGGACTTGAAATCCTGGGCTCAAGGGATTCTCCTGTCTGAGCCTCCCAATGGCTGGAACTAAAGATGTGCACCACTGTGCCCTCAGCCTGTGTAGTTCCTTCCATGCACTGTCTTATGTATAGGTCACACTAATGGGTGGAGTTTACATCGGTGGGGACTTCTGATGTAAACCATAGGACAGGGCCCTGGAGGTTTTTCTTTTCCCAATTAAAAAAAGATTTATTTATTTATTTCATTTTCTATGTGTGTACTGTGTGCATGCCTGGTGCTCTTGGAAGAGTGACAGTTTCCAGGTGCCATGTGAATGGTAGGATAGAACCAGAATCCTTTCTCTGCAAGAGGATCACTTAACTATTGAGCCATTAGCGTCTGTCCTGGAGATACACTGCCAACCACGTCACTCTGTGCTATGTTATATATAGTATTGTAGTACATCTTTGTACTAGCTCTTGTCTGGTCCCATGCTCTTCCTGAGTTCTGTCTCTCCAGTCACTTTCTACAGTTGGAGCTAGAGCAATATTCTAAAGCGTACTTTGATCTTTTCCCTCCCTGTTTAAAACCTCTTTGTGATCCTTGCTACTTGCAGGATCTTCAGCCCTTGGCCATGTGACCCCTTCTTTTCTTGTCTTACTTGAGCTATTTTGCTTTTCAAAATGATTGTGTTCTCTCTGCCTTTTGGCCTTTGCATATGCCTTGCTCTTCGCTCTGATTTCTCTGCCTCTTTACCCTACTGATGACAGCAGTGCTTTTACCCTACTGATGACAGCTGTGCTTTAAGTCTTTGCTCTACACTTTCAAAGTCTTCCTCCCCTTTCCCTTAGCAACACTAGCACTGACCTGTCCTAGCTGCTTCAGCTGTTCAGCCTTGCCTCTCTTCAGTAGTCATCTACTTCTGATCTCTGTTACTTGGCTGGGTTTTCCTCTCTACTGGGCAAGAATTATAGCTACCTTCTTTACAGTGATATTCCCAGGAAGTTTTACAGTAACCAAAAGACTGATTGGAGTAAATTTAATGTGTGCCATATGGGACTGGAGAAATGATTCAGTGGTTAAGAGCACCTAACTGCTCTTGCAGAAGAGCTAGGTTCGGTTCCCAGCACCCACATGGCGGCTCTCAACTGTTTCCAGGAGATCAGATGACCTGTGCTGACCTCTGTGGGCTCCTGCACACATAGAGGCCATATATACTTTGTTCTCAGCTGATGTTCATCAACTTGGCTTCACTTGTAACCGTGTCAGCTAAATTTAGGAGAAACATCTGTGCCACAAGCTAGGCAATGCCAAGTATGGGATCTGTGCTAACTCAGTTAACATCACAAGGAGGGCATGTATCATAAAGATGACAAACTTGGCCTGGCAAAATGACCCAGGGGGTAAAGGCAAGATCTAGCCCCAAGACTCACATGGTGGGAGGAGAGAACTTATTACTACTGCAAGTTTGCAAGTTGTCCTCTGCACCCGTCTCCCATCTAAATAAATAAATATTTTAGAGACTAGAGAGATGGCTCAGCAGTTGGGTACTTGCTGCTCTGTCAGCAGACTAGATTTTGGTTCACAGCACCTATGTCAGGCAGCTCACAAGGCCTATAACTCTAGCTACAAGGGATCTGATGTCATCTTCTGGCTTCCACAGATACCCACATGTTTGAGTGCGCACAGACATACACATAAAAATAAAATTAAAAAAATTTTCAGAAAGGTAAACTTTGCAGTTGTATAAAATGTGGTGAACAAGGGTGGAGGGATGGCTCAGTGCTTAAGAGTAGTGGCTCTTCTACACAGTGGCTCATAACTGTCTATAAAGATCAGACACCCTCTTCTGGGTTCTGAGTGCACCAGGCACACTTGTGGTACACAGATGTACATGCAGTCTAAACACCCATACATGTAAAATAAATTCTAAAAGGTGTGAGTGAGCATCAGCAGTAATTCTAAGAGCTTGCCACTGTAGACATCTTGGTGTCATCTTGAAGCAAAGCATGCTTGCCATAGGCATACTGTCTTGTACTTTTCTGGTATACTACTAAAGCTCTTCTCTGCCTTTGTATGTGTGTGTGTGTGTGTGTGTGTGTGTGTGTGTGTGTGTCCATTCATTTTAGAGACTGTTCCTTTTATAGCTGTTGCATAATTAACACATTACATTCTGATGGATGTCTCTGTGCAGAAAAGTGTACGATGACTGTTGTTTTAACTGTTTGTTTCAACACACACATAAGTTCAGTGGCTAGATGTGGAACTGCCTACTTCAAGAATAAGAGTGTTTCCAGCATGATGCATTGCCATGCTGCCCTCCACATAAGCCATTGTAAGATGTGAGGATGCCCTGGGGAAGAAGACAGCAAAGTGGAGCCTTCCCCTTGCAGCTCAGTGTGGGGCTCTGAAAGATGGAGTGTGAGGCATGTTATGAGGAGGGGTGGGAAGTGGGGCTCCAGCCTACGATCTGTAGGTCTGTAGGAGGTGCTCCCTCTCTTTTATTTTTTTCTTTTGAGACAGATCTCTTGTAGCAGCCCAGGTTAACCTAGAGCTTAATATGGAACTAACTCCATAGCAGAGGGTGGCCTTGAATTCCTGATCCCCCTGCCTCTAGTTACTGAATACTGAGATTACAGGCATGTGAAGATCTTTTTAGCTGCCTTTGAAAGGGATATAGAGGAATAGCTAAAGGGGGTTTGTACCTGCTAATGGGGAAGTTGTGTCACTATTTTTGAGTCACAGATCAATCATTGCTCAAACCCTGCCCTTTTTACTCAGTTGTCTATGTACTTAGCTTTTCTAAAATATATATGTTAGTAACATATATACTTTTTGCTTTTTTAAAACAGGGCTTCACTGTGTAGCCCTGGCTATCCTGGAACTCACTCTGTAGACAAGGTTGACTTGAACTCACAGAGGTCCACCTGCCTTTGCTTCTCGAGTGCTGGGATTAAAGGTGTTCACCACCTTGGGAGGCAGAGGCATGCGGATCTCTGTGAGTTTGAGACCAGCCTGGTCTACAAGAGCTAGTTCCAGGACAGTCTTCAAAGCCACAGAGAAACCCTGTCTGGAAAAAAAAAAAAAAAAAAAAAAAAAAGTGTTTACTACCACTGTCTGGCCTGTTTTGTTTTGTTTTTTTTTAAAGGCAGTGTCTCATGTAGCCCTTACTGGCCTAGAATTGACTATGTAGCGAAGGGTTACCTTTAACTTCTGATCTTCCTGCTTCTGTTTCCCAAGTTCTGGGGTGACAGTTGTATGTCATCATGCCCACCTTTTGTAGTTCTGAGGGTGGAGCCAAGGGCTTGCAAATACTAGGCAACCACCCCACTCTGAACTGTTTTTCCAGGCTTCTCTGTTTTCAGCTGATATCCCTGGATCTACTCTTCTCCCTTCAGTTTATTTTCTATCCTGCAAAGAGTGGTGTTTAAAGACACAACAAAGCACTTTATCCTGAGCCTTAAGAGCATAGATGATTTCACATTGCCCTAGGATGAGATTTCTTCCCTCCCTCCCTCTCCCCCTCTCTCTCTGCCTGGGAGTGGGGCATCAGGGGCACAGAGTCTCAGTTACCTTGGCAGGCCTGGAACTGGCTCTGTACACCAGGTTGGCCTTGAACTCATAGGGATCAGTCCCCGATGCCCCACCTCCAAAGAGATTTGGGGGAAGGGAGCCCTGTTTGCTGCATAGAGAATAATACTGCCTCTGGAGTATTGGGATCAAAGACTTTCACTCCCATGCCCAGTTGAGATTCCTTCTCTTTAATGCCTCTAGCCTTCCCAACCCGCCCTTTATTCCCCATGATTCTTTCTGTATTTCAGGGCCAACTCTTTCCATCCTTCAGGATTCAGCACAGGTCTGAGCTTAGATTTCCCCGTGTCTCATCTCGCTGTTTGCTCTCTTTCAGTATTTGTCTTTAGACCATCAGCAATTGGTAATAGTTTGTTGCCTTTTCACTTGTGCCTCCCAGAAGAGATTAGCTCAAGGATGTTTAGCCCTATCGCAGTACCGCTGTCACCCAAAAGGCCTCTTTCGATGTTGCAGTTTGTTCTTCTGTGATGCACATCTGACAGTGTGCTAGACGTGGACATATACTTTGACACCAAAATTCCACTCTTTTCTTAGATTCCTGCCCCAAAGCGAGGAGAAATAGTAAGAAAGATTGGCCTGGCCTTGCGGGAGAAGATCCGAGTACTGGGAAAACTGGTAAAGTATTTTTGAAGTCTGTTTGTGGTCTCTTGAGTAGAGAGTAGGCTGTCATGAGTTTTCATATGTATGTTGTGTTTTGTTTGAAACTGAGGTTTTTGCTGTGCCCTCTGCTTTGGACTTTCAACTGCTGGAGTCTGTGTGTTTCTTTTTCCCTCCAGGTCGAATCAGATTTAAAAGGATCGGCCTAGTATATGTATCTTAAGATTGTGATTTTTAAGAAAAACAAATTTTGAAATTCATATTTTTTTAGAGGAAAGAGAGAAAAGTGAAAAAAATTATGTGGTTTAAAAATCCTTAAAACAAAATCCAATTTGCATAAAAGAAATTCTCAAAGAATTAATAAACAAAATTATATTAAGAAGTAAAATAAGAAACAAGTAAATAAAGAAGTAAAAAGAAAGATAAAGAGAAAAAGTCACGAGAAAAGAGCAGATTTCCTTAGTTTCTTACCTACATAAAATAACGATTTATTTTTGTCCTCAGCTCAATGTTAAATAGGGATTCTACTGGAGAAACTGTGCTTGGATTTTTATATTTCTAGGTGTCTTTGGAAATGGGGAAGATCTTAGTGGAAGGAATAGGAGAAGTTCAGGAGTTCGTGGACATTTGTGATTACGCTGCTGGCTTGTCGAGGATGATCGGGGGACCCGTCTTGCCTTCTGAAAGTAAGCCTGGCATCAGTTGACTAAGTGTTTGGTGCTGTGGCCTGGAGAGATGTCTTGACAGGACATCACTAACTTCAGTTCCATTCCCAAGACCCACAGAGTAGGAGAGAACTGAGTTTTGTTGTCCTCTGGCCTCCATATGTGTACGCACACAGACACATACTCCAAATATGTTTTAGAGCTGAGGGGAGTCAGGGAATTAGTAGCTGTGATAGAGCAAGTAAAGGTTAGGACCATAGGCATGTGGGGAACTCTACCCCAGCCTGGGCATGTTGATGAAAAGGCCTTTCTGGGAAGGTACCCTAAGGCCTTGAAGGAGATGGAACTGGGGGTGGAGTACTTCAGGTGGGGAAGAGGATTGTGTGAAGTCAAGGATGGAGGAACAGGTCCATGTGGGGACTGCCTTGCTTTGGCACAGCTGGAGGATGCAGTGCAACAACCTCTGTTGTGAGGAGTTTGGACTTTATCCTGAATAGCTACAGCATCTATACAGACAGTAGACACCTCTAAGCAATGCATCGATGGCAGTAGGGCCAAGAAGGAAGAGTAGGAGAGAAGGTTAGCCTTGCCAAGAAGGAGTGGGGGTGCTGGCCTGCAGGTTGGCCTCAGTATGAGGTTCCCAGCCCTATTTCCAGTGTGAATGATGACAAGAAGGGCCACTTTCCTCCTGTGTAGTAGTATGTAATTTTAACCAGGTCTGTCAGAGTTTCTTGGCTCAACCAGCTAGTGATTAAGCCTTTGTGGGATTAGCTTTAAAGTTTGCAATTAAAATGTGAGATGTGAGGGTTTTTTTTTTTTTTTTTTGAGAAAGGGTTTTTTTGTGTAGTTTTGGAGCCTATCCTGGCACTTGCTCTGTAGACCAGGCTGGCCTCGAACTCACAGAGATCCACCTGCCTCTGCCTCCGGAGTGCTGGGATTAAAGGCGTGCGCCACCAATGCCTGGCCCGAGTTTGGGTTTTTTATTTGTTTCTTTTTTATACAGTGTCTCATGTATTTCAGGCTGGGCTGGAACTTTCCATGTAGTGGAGAAAACTTTGAACTCATCTTTCTGCCCCCACATCCTGAATGCTGGGATTCAGGCATGAGCCACCACATCCAATCTGTGCTGTGCTGGGGCTCCAACCCAGGACTTTGTACATGCTAGGCAAGCAGTCTACCAAATGAACCACATATTCTGCCAAAATATAAACATTTCTATTCATACTTTTAATTTCCTTACAGTGCATAGAAAGTTTCTGTAATCCAACCAACATAAGCCTATAACACAAGCTTCCTCATCTTGAAGTTGGAGAGGTCAAGAGACAACGTAAAGAACATAGACCTGAGAATCACATGTTCTATGCTCTGTTTATATTTTATCCTTTGTGTTCGCATCTCTTGGGGGAACCTCCTACTACCTCGGTGACATGGCCCTATCTTCCACATGGGACCCATAATGCCCTTTCCTCTGTAGCTCCTGAGGTGTGAGGTGAAATGAACACCATTATAGCTGATAACGCAGTATAGTAATAAGCAGTTCTGTTTTATATTAAGTGATATGTCCATATCCTTTGGCTATGTGAAGTGATCCAAGAAGGCATCAGGAATCTTCTCTGGTCTGGTTCATGTACTTCTGACATGAAGAGGGATGATTCAGGATTTTATTCTTAATAAATTAATGTCCACTAAGTGAATGTTTACACACCTTAGGACCTGGCCATGCTCTCATCGAGCAGTGGAACCCGTTAGGCCTGGTGGGAATCATCACTGCCTTCAATTTCCCAGTGGCCGTGTTTGGCTGGAACAACGCCATAGCGCTGATCACAGGGAATGTCTGCATCTGGTAAGCCATGCTCATTTCCTGTCTCAGAATAAGTTGGTGATAAATAAAGGGTTTAGATGTATTAAAGTGTTTTCCAGCTTTCTCAGCTAATACATTAAATCATGCATGCTAATTTTCTTCATTCTTAATTTGCATTTTTCCATTGGCGACATATTTGGATGTTCTTACTCCAAGTGGAGGTATTGTTTCTCAGTTATGATGCTAAATACCTGGAGTTAGGCTCCATGTGTTAATGGCTCAGTCTTCCATAGAACTGCCCCCAGTTCAGATGGATTGATTGATTGATTGATTTTTTTAAGCCTTTATTTATTTATTTATTTATTTATTTATTTATTTATTTATTTATTGAGAGGAAGACACTGAACTCTTGTTTCTATCTTCTAAGTGCTGGGATTACAGGCATGGGCTACCTTGTCTAGGACTTTTTAAATTTTAATTTTTTTGAGATAAGATCTCACTATCTAGCCCAGGCAATCTTACTGCCTCAGGTCTGCCCCACCCCCTTTGCAGGGATTACAGGTGCGCAGCAATATGCCCAGCCAAATTTATTAGTCTTAAATAATGCCTTCAATAGAATATTCTCAATCTCTCATAAAACAAAGTGTAGTTTGAAGGCTTAATAATTTGTTACCATCTTTCCAAAGGAGCCTGTTTTCTGTTTGAGATTTGTCATTGCTGTGACCAACTGCTTGATAAGATGCAACTTAAGGGGGAAGTTTATTTTGGGCCACAGTTGGGAGGCAGGATAGAGTCCATCATGCAGAGATGGCATGGTGTGGGACCAATTTGCTCATATCCGTTCAGTCGGGAAGCAGAGAAAGGAGAATGCTAGTGTTCATCTGGCTTTCTATCTTTTTCCCTTTTATTCTGTCCTGGGGCCCAGTGATGAGTCGGTTGGTGCTCCCCATGTTTGGGTTGGGTCTTCCCCCTTCAGTTGATGTCCTCTGAAACACCTTTATAAGCACATCTGGTTTTCATGCTGTGTTTTAGAACTGGCCTAGGCAATGCTTAATCCAGTCAAATTGACAGTTCTAAGTAAGACTCATACAGTGTTGAAATCAGTATGCTATTATGTAGCTAGCTGGCAGTTACCATAACAGTTCCGATGGTTCTGCAGCATGTGGCCTCACATTTCTTTTTGCAGGGTTATGTTCATGAAGTTTCCTTATCCATTGTGCCCAGAGACACCACCTGCAGGATAGGTTTCCATTTCAGTTACTAGAGTTATTTGTTGTCTAATTGGACTACACCTTTTCTCCATAACTTTTTGAGTTTTTTTTTTTTTTTGTTCTAATGAAAGGTATGCCTCTCAAGTTAATTTTCTTTCTCTCTCTTTTAAAAAATGTCTCTAGGAAAGGAGCCCCAACAACTTCTCTCGTTACTATAGCTGTCACAAAGTAAGTATGTGTAGCTTTCTTTTTCCTGGATATGACATAATTTTGCAAAGGTGATTGACAGGTGCTATTTTTTTTTTGTTTGATTGTCTTTTGTTTGTTTTTTGAGACATGATTTCTCTGTGTGTATCCCTGGCTGTTATAGAACTCGCTGTGTATGTAGGCCATCCTGGCCTCGAACTCACAGGTCTGCCCCTGCCTCCCAAGCAAGTACTGGGATTAAAAGTGTGTGCTACCACTGCCTGGCTTGGCACTAGGTTTTTAAATGGTGGAAAGTATCCTGTTTGTTTTAGCATAGAGATCAGATAACTTTCTTCTTTGGTTGTAGTAACATTTTTATATCACTTTTCAGTTTATGTGACTGTTTCTGAGCCATGACCTAACATGCATGTTGAACTCTTCTAGATCTTCTAGACATTTTATCACTTGAAAAATAAAAACCTCTGCAGCAGAGAAGAAATACCCCAGCACTTTAGGGACTGTATTTATTCTATAACTATCCAACAGGTTTCTGGCTGAGAAGCCCTTGCCCTGGTTCTGGGAATTGAAATTAGGATCTTACATAGGCTAGGCAAGTGCTCTACCATTGAGATATATTTTCAGTCAATATATTGGTCAATCTATAGACCAATAACAAAACAGAGAGAACTAATTAGTATACTGTTTAACATTATTTAAAAGGAATTACATTTTTTTTGTTAAAAATTATAAGTACCTTATTTATATTTGAGACCTTACAGCTCTGAGGTCATAAAATCAATACTATCAATTTATGAATCTGGAATTTAGTGTGCACACACACTTCAGACATAGACATAAACACAAAATGAATAGATAAAAATGTAATTAAGGCTGAATGTGGTGATGCACACCTTTAATGCCAGCACTCAGGAGGCAGAGACAGGCAGATCTCTGTGACTGCTAGGTCAGCCTGGTCTAAATAGCAAGTTCTAGGCCAACCAGGACTATATAGTTGAGACCCTGTCTCAAACAAAACTTATCAACAAGAAAGTAATTAAAAAAAAAATCCCTCTACCACCGCAAAAACATTAAACAAAACAAAAAGAGGTAGGACATTATGTCTTAGTATTTAGTTAAAGTAATAATGTGGTAATGTCTTCTAAGGGTTTTCAAATTAATGTTAAAATTTCATGTCCACAAGCCTTTTGGGCATGAAGGATACTGCTGTTTTCTGACTGGAGGCAGCAGATGTAAGCCCTGTGCTACTTCAGGGTTACACAAGGCAGGCCCCATTCTCCAGTGTAGTTCTATGAAACTTCTAGGCTTCCGAGACTTCTTCCTTCCACATTCCATCCTTTTTTTATTTTAGTTTGTTTTTTGAGGCTGGTTCTCATGAAGTCAGACTGCCCTACATTCCTTACACAGCTGATATGAACTTGAACTCCCCATCCTCCTTCCTGCACCTCCGAAGTGCTGGGATGACAAGCAAGTACCACCATGTCTTGCTCTCCTTCTATCCTTCACTGCTTCTGTCTTTGGAGGGGAAGGTGAGAGAAGAGGGTCACTTATAGTCCAGGCTAGCTTGAGTTCCCTTGTAGCTATGATCCTCCTGCCTCTACCTCCCAAGTGCTGGGATTTCAGGCACATATTAGCATGCCTGGTTTATTCGGTGAGGAGATTGAGTCCAAGGTGTCATGCAAACTTGGCAAATGCTCTCAACTGGGCTAAGCATCCCGCTTCCCTTTACTGCTTCTGTGTGTGAGCAGATGCAGGGGTATGTTCAGATGTCTTATTTACTTACGGAGTCTTCATGTTCCTTCATGTTCCTGTACCTTATTCCTTTGTAATTTCCTTCCTGTTGTTTTAATGGATGTGTGGTTAGGAAGAAAAGAAGAAGCAAGGCTTCACCCTTGGACTTTTGTGCTGACTGCACCCCAGCCTTCAATCTGCCATATTGACTCAGATGTGTCTTCATAATTGGGCAGAGAATATTTGATGAAAATGTGTTTTTAACCACCTAGCCAATGCTTTCCATCTTCCTATTCGTGTTCTGTATATTTTTCCCTTTAATACTCTATTTTAAACCCAAACATCTGCTTGTGTTTGTAAACCTTAGCTATAAGCTGTAAGGAAAACCCAGGTCTGAGTGTTTGAAGAGTTGGAGGGAACACTAAAAGGGAGGTCATGTGAGAGGGATGTCTCTCTCAGTTATAAAACTGTTCCGAAGGAAATGGTTGACTGAGCAGTATCTGCCTTTTCCTTCCTAGGATCATAGCCAAGGTTTTGGAGGACAATGATCTGCCTGGTGCCATTTGTTCCATGACTTGTGGTGGAGCAGATATTGGGTAGGTGAATGGCTGAAGAGCATCCTTCTGTTGAAGGACCCTGGGTTGATTGCTGGGCATCTTCTACTATAATAACAAATTCCAGGGTGGGTAAAGAGGTGAGGCTACCTTCTATGGGCATTAAAATTATAGACCTGCTATGTTCTTGTTAGTGAGCAAACCTTCCCGAGAGATACTTGTTTTTTAGTTATTGACCAACTGATTTTCAGTGTTTATAGTTTGGACAGATATTAATTTCCTGATACTTGATTTAACTAGGGAATTTATAAAACAAAGCTGTGACATCAAAATCCCTGCCTGGAGACTTAGCCTAGTGTCATTTCCTTAGCTGACTATAAAAGGGGCAGGAGATGTAGCCTAGTGGGTAGAGTGTTTATTTAGCATTCAAGAAACTCTGGGGGCTGGAGAGGTGGTTCAGCCGTTAAGAGCAGTGGCTGCACTTCCAGAGGACCTGGGTTCAATTCTCAGCAACCACATGGCAGCTCACAACTGCCTGTGACTCCAGTTCCAGGGGATCCAACATCTTCACACAGAATATATCTGGCAAAACACCAGAGTATATTAAATAAATAAATCTTAAAAAAAAGAAACTCGGGCTGGAGAGATGGCTAAGGGGTTAAGAACACTGACTGTTCTTCCAGAAGCCCTGAGTTCAATTCCCAGCACCCACATAGTGACTCATAACCATCTGTAATGAGAGCTGGTGCCCTCTTCTGGCCTGCAGGCATACATGCAGGCAGAACACTGTATACATAATAAATCTTAAAAAAGAAAAAAAAAAAAACAAAAAAAAACAAAAAAACTCTGGGTTCAGTTCTTAGCACTGAATATACCAGGTGTGGTGACACATGCCTGTAATCTCTGGACCCTGAAGGTGGAGGCAGGAAGATCAAGAGTTCAAGGTCATCCTCAGCTATATGGCAAGTTTGAGATCCTATTTAGAAAAAAAAAAGAAAAAGGGCCTTTTGGGTTTTGTTTTAACTGCCGAAAGATTCATATACCATAAAACCCTCCCTGTGAAACTTGATGAGTTTTGTTTCTGTCTTGGGATGGGAGCCCAGGTACTCTGTGTGCAGCCCAGGCAAGGGCTCTCCCACTCTCAGCTCCTGCCAAGTAGCTTTTAAAACATTCATTGTTGTGCAACCATTGCTATCTTATTCCAGGATGTTTTCCACACTCACTTCTCACTGCCTTCCCCAAGTTTGTGACAAACACTGACAAACTTTTTGTCTCTGTGAATTTTTCTTTTGGTACCATTTTGTATAAATGGAATCATAGAATGTGAGCTTTTTTGTGATGCTCTCTTTTGTGACTCTTCTTTTACTTAGCACAAGGCCACAGCCTTTGAGTCTGGAATTGGCTAAAATTGCCCAGTGCCATCAGGAAAGCTGGGGTCACTTTTTTCCTAGTTTAGCCTATCTTATTGCCTCCCTACCTCCAACCCCCATTGTACCCAGTGAAATGTTTTTAAATGCCACTGAAACACGAATGTTGTATTCTTTGGCCTACTCTCTCTGTTATTGCACTCTGAACATCCTGTCCTTCTGTTGGCCTTGATGTAGCTCAATAGCATTACGTAGGACCTTACTGAGTGCAGCCACGTGGCCTTCAGGCACTCATGATTGCAGGTTGAACCTGGGGAGTCTTACCTGAGTAATTAGATCAAGCTGTCCAGTGTGCAGGCTGAAGCAAGGGATGTCCTGCATTGCTCACCCTGAATGGAAGTACGAACAACTGAACAAAGAAGTTCCAATCAGTAGTGTTTGAGCTACATTCCTGAGAAGAAACGGGAAATTCTAGAACAGCTTTTAGGTTTTTAATTGTGTATTTTGGGGGGCTGTTTTAACTGGGGGTGGAAAGGTGGTTAAGGGAGGGGCTGATTTTGGAAACTCAGGGCAGCTGCAGATGTCTTGAGCTTTTGGTCTTCTTGCCTTCACCTTTCAACTGCTGGGATTATAGGTATAGAGCACCCCATCCGGTTTTGTGTGGTGCCTCCTGAATGCTATGAAGCAAGCTGCATCCCTAACCCTAAGAGCAATGCATGATACCTGGGTCCTGGAGAGATCTGCAGTGTTAATCATGGGGACTTTTATTTTGAGGTAGTGCCTTACTGAGTGGTCCAGGATGGCTTTGAACTCATTCTAGCACAGGCAGGTCTTGAGTATGTGATCTTCCTACCTCACTCAGGCTCCCAAGTAGCTGAGATCACAGGCTTGTGCCATAGCTTTAGTGGTTGTTTTCTTTTAAATAAAAGGCTTATTGAGTTTTATGTATGTTGTGGATGTTTTGCCTGCACGTGTACCACATTCGTGCTTGGTGCCTGTAGAAACCAGAAGAGTATAGGGTCTTCCAGAGCTAGAGTTATGGACGGTCGTGAGCCACCATGTGAGTTCTGGAAATTGAACCTGGACCCTCTGGAAGAGCAGCTGGTCTTCTAACTGCTGAAACAGCTCTCCAGCCCCAAGGCTGGCTGATCTTAAAGTATTGCAGATTAGGAGCCGGAATGCACCTGATGCTCCTTGAAGAAGCACCAGGAACACATTGTCTCTGTTCCCTCTCAGTACAGGAAGAACTTTTTTCATGAGCTAGAAGGTTCCCCAAAGGGCTGCCACAGCTCACACAGCAGACCAGCTTGCTTTCCCTGTGCTTCTGCTGGTGAATAGTTTGTTTCACTACCTCATGCCCTTGGGATAGACTTCCTTGTAACCTTGACTGTTTTGCCAAGGGCCCATTCATGCTTCTTGCTGGGTACTGTCGGGTGCCATCATTTCTAGGTGTTTTTGCTTGGGTGACCCTCTCTGTTCCCTGCAGCACAGCAATGGCCAAAGATACACGTGTGAACCTGCTGTCCTTCACTGGAAGCACTCAGGTGGGGAAACAGGTGGCCCTGATGGTGCAAGAGAGGTTTGGTAAGTGGGGGCTTTGTGATGAGGATTTGAATCGGTGCTTGATATTTACAAGTTTTTTTGCTGGGTCTGGTGATGCATTCCTTTAATTCCAGCACTTGAGAGGCAGAGGTGGACCTCTGAATTCAAAACCAGTCTGGTCTATGTAGTGAGTTCCAGGCCAGCCAGGACTATATTGTGACCTTGTCTCCAAAAACCTAACAAACCAAGTAAAAAAACTCAACAAAATAAACAATAAGGTCAATAAGGTTGTATGATGCAAGATTAACTGTAAAAAATTATATTTCAATGTACTAACAATGAGTGACTTGAAAATGAAATTTAGAAAGCAGTTCTACTTATGGTGACATCAAAAAACCAAAACACTGACACAGAAATCTAAAGTAGTGCTAGCCTTTTGTTCAAAGTAGCTATTGAAAAACATTAAGAACAGAAAGACATCAAATTTTCATTTTTCATAGTGTTCAGGCTTGTTATGATACCAATTCTTCCCAAATGATCTGTGGGCTCAGTCTAGTTGCTGTCAACATCAGCTGTCTGTTTTGTGGCAAGTGACGATTGACACCAGAATTCCTGTGGCAATGCAAAGAACCCTGAATATCTGAAACAATTTTGAAAAAGATTGATGATAGAGATCTCCTACTTCTGATTTTACAACTTACAACAAAATTATTACATGAAGTCATAGATCAATGGGATAGGACCAAGAGCCCATACATTTATTTCTAATGGTGTTTTTTTCTCTCAACATGATTGCCAGACATTTTCAGTGGGGTAAGAATGGTCTCTTTTGACAGGTAGTGCTTGGAGAACTAGACAGCCTTATGAATTAGTATGAAATTTGTCCTTGTCTTACTCTAAACCCCAAACTTAACTAAAATTCTATGAAAGACCTAAATGTAAGAGCCAAGACTAAATTTTTGGAGACCTAGGAAATAAGCCTTTGTTACCCTGTTGTGCAGTGGTTTCTTAAATGACACCCAAGGCACAAATATCAGTAGTAGCAATAGTTAAATTAGACTTCATCAAAAACTTTCTGTGCTTCACTGTGTACCAGAGGAAGAAAGTGAGAAGGGCACAGAATATTCGTAAGTCATTTCTCCACTAAGAAACATGTGTCTAGAATATAGAAAGTGTTTTTTGTATTTTTTTTTTTTGACAGGATCACTGACATGGAACTTGCCATGTAGATCTTGTTGGCCTTGAACTCATAGAGATGTGTCTGCTCTGCCTCCTGAATACTAGGATTTTTTTTTGAATGTTTCAGTATTTTTTTTATTTGAATTACAAACAAGATTGAATTACATGACAATCTGAATACTAGGATTAAAGGTGGGTGTGAAAATAGAAACTCCTAAAGATCAATAGTATAAAAACAAATGCTATAATTTTTTTCTATAATGCTGGGTTTAGACCCAGGACCTTATCCATATGACATAAGTGCTCTACCACTGAGCTATATTTCCAACTACAAATAATACAATTATTGGGGGCTGGTAAGGTGGCTTAGTGGGTAAAAGCATTTGCTGTGTAACCTTAATAACTGAGTTTAATTCCTGGGACCCATGGAAAAAAGATGGATTCAGTGGCTTGCGTCTGTAGTCCCAGCACTCCCATTGTGAGATGGGAGACAGGAGAATCACCTGGAAGCTTACATACATAGCCCAGTGGTAGAAATAACAGGAGACACTGCCTCAAAAACAAGCTGGAGCCAGGTGGTGGTGGTGTGGTGGTGGTGTAAGCCTTTAATCCCAGCAGAGTATATCTGTGAGTTCGAGGCCAGCCTGGTCTTCAGAGTGAGTTCCAGGACAGACTCCAAAGCTACACAGAGAAACCCTGTCTAGAAAAACAAAAACAACTCTCTCTCTCTCTGCTCTCTCTACACTTTTCTCTAATATTCTCTACTACTTCTCTCTCTATTCTCTCTCTCTCTGCCTCTCTATGGTGACCGGCCATGGCAGTCAGCCATTAACCTGTTTCTCTTCTCTCTTAGTCTCCCTACTCTGCCAGGCCTATAATAAACTGGTTAATATGTCTAAAAAAAAAAAAAGAAAGAAAAACAAAAACAAAACAAAACAAAAAAAAAGAGAGAGAGAAAGAAATAAGGAAAGAAAGAAGAAGAAACAAAAACCAAAAAAACCCCAAAACAACAAGGTGGTAGAAAAGAGCAAACTCCCAAAAGTTATTCTCTGACATCCATAGGCGTGCTGTGATACCTGCGCTCTTGTGTGTGCTTGCTCTGTCTGTCTCTCCCACCCTCTCACATACACAAAATAAATAAAGAGAATAACTGAAAATGGGCAGTAGATATGAACAAACACCTTATGTGTGCAATGAGCAGGAAAAGATGCTCAGCTTCATTCTGTCTCTGTTCTCAGGAGCAGAGTCTTCACCTTCTCACCATTTCTTACACAAAGCAGTAGTTTGTTCTTGCTTAAGTAGTAGCGTAGTAGGATTGCATCCTCTTGAATGCTTTTGGCTATCTTAAGTGATAGGCACTTTTGTCTGGAAGGGGAATGGGGATTGGCAGTTAGGAGGGAGGTCAGAGAGCAGTTGATGGGAGTGAGCAGAAGAAGGCATGCGTCTTCACCTTTTGCCAGATATCCCTTGTAGCCAAGAAGGGGAAATTGCTGTACGGAAGAATCTTCTGTTTTCTTCTTAGCAGCTAGAATAGTGCTATACTGTTGGCAGTGAGCCTTCCTTAGATCAGTTCTTGCCCCAGAAGCTGGAACTGTTGTTGTCCTCAGAGGCTTTGCTGGCCGATAGTAGCCATAGCATTCATACTTAGTACCCACTGGATGCTTGCTGTTTCGGAGCCGTGGGGGTGACAGTCATACTCTCCTGCTACTTCAAATGAGATACTTTAGAGGAAACATATTCAAAAGAGTAGAGCAAAACACATCTATAAAATTGAGGCAGAACTCAAGTCTTTCTGCAGGGGAGAGTGAAAGGAGCCCAGGCATTCAGAGGGTTTTTTTTTTTTTTTTTTCAAGACAGGGTTTCTCTGTGTAGCTTTGGAGCCTATGCTACACAGAGAACCCCTGTCTTGAAAAACAAAAAACAAAAAATAAAAAAAATGTCAAGAGTCCTAGGCAGTGACCTAAGTAGATAATGAAAAACACTGATAACAAACAACTAATATATTCAACATTGCATGATTAATTAAATAAAGTTTGGTGTGTCATCACAATGGAGTGACATGCATTGATTTCATTTTTCCCACTTCTGGGTATTACCTACCCTGCTATCTTTTGTTCCCCTCTCACATGTGCTTCGTTCACCTCCCAACTAGCCCGCTTCTGTTTTCATGTGTGTGTGTGTGTGTGTGTGTGTGTGTGTGTGTGTGTGTAAAAGCACAATTTGCAGGAGTCAGTTGTCTCCAATCATGTAGGTCTTGGGGATTGAACTCAGAGTTGGCTGCAGGCACCTTTATTTGTTGAGCCATCTTGTTAGCTCCTAGTGAATTTCATCAGGGTTGCTTCTTCAGGGTGAGGGTTTGTTTGGTGAGGGTTTGTTTAGAGGCTACACCACTGAAGCAGATATCTCTCCCTCCTCCATCAACCACTAACTATGTATAAGTCCCCAGGGAGTGTTGGGACTCTTATGAGTTCCTCCTTTTCCATAACAGGGTGTTGATAGGTCCCAACCTATTTGGGTAATAACACTGATACTTTGAGTTAATTGGCATAGCCACATCCTGCCTGGAAGTAACTGTTCCCCACTACTTCAGAGGCCATGATAGAGCTCTCTGCTGCCATTCATGGTGGCATTCAGTTGTCATGAATTCTCAGTTCTCTGACTAATTTTGAATCAACACAGTCACTGCAGAGGGAAGCTTCTCTGACCAAAGTGGGCAGCAGCGGCAGCTATGTGCATGATGTTTTGTCATTTCCTCTCTCTAGAAACATACATACAGGGCTGGAGAGATGGCTCAGGTTAAGACCACTGGCTGCTCTTCCAGAGGTCCTGAGTTCAATTCCCAGGAACCACATGGTGGCTCACACCCATCCATTATGAGATCTGGTGCCCTCTTCTGGTGTGCAGATATACATGGAAGCAGAATGTTGTATACATAATAAATAAATAAATAAAATCTTTATATAAAAAAGACCATACATGCGTGGGCTCACACGCATGCAGTATGGGCATTTAATTCATATCCATTTTCAGGGTATTTCCCAAGAATGCAGTCTTGTACATAACTATTATACAATGCTGTAATTGTCATTAATATCATTGTTAAGCTGCCTCATTAATCAGAAAGTAAATGAAAAATAACTGGGATCACTCTAATGGGAGGCGGTGTCCATTGAGTACTGAAATAGGAAATAATTGTGACTGTTTTCTTTTAAAGGGAAAAGCTTGTTGGAGCTTGGTGGAAACAATGCCATTATAGGTAAGGCTGCCCCCTTTGCTTTGCTTTCTGTTCGGTTTGCTGTCTTCAGTCATCTTTAATATATGGAACTTGCACAGGAACTCATCCTTTCCATGCTCTGTGTGCTTGGGACTCAGTTCCCATCTTTAGGAATTTTCCTGAGTAGTCAGGACATGAACTTGGCTTAAAGGAAGAGGGAGCTAAGAAACAGGATAATGTTGGGAAAATGTTATCTGTTCTAATGTGGCATTACTTCTTCATGCTTTTTTTTTTTCTCTTGTTTTCTAGAAACTGGCTATGTGTTCTTCTAGAATAATCAGTTGTTTCCTGAGTGACTCGCTGATTTCTTTAGGTTTCAGACACACAAAGTTGACCTTTAGTGGAGTACTAGGGGCTTTCATGTTAGGAAGGAACACTTGCTTTTTTAAAGATTTTATTTTTACTTTTAAGTGTGTGTGTGTATGTGTGTGTGCTCGTGCACATGCCTGAGTACCCAAAAGAGCTACGGGCTTTCCAGTAGCTGGAGTTAATAGGTGATTGTGTGCTGCCTGACATGTGTGCTGGGAACCAAATTTGGGTCCTCTTCTAGAGTGGTATATGCTCTTACACTATCAAGCTAATCCCCCAACTGCTGTGCATCTTTTAAAGCCATAGTTTGCTCATCTTCAGGGGAAGCTGGAACAGGCTTTGATCTTCCCCTGTAGCAAGGAACAGGCTGTCTCATGTAGGAGCAGGAAGCTTTATGACAGTGGGGAGTGGACTGGGACAAATGAGCAGTAGTGAGGGGTCTCTGAAACAGAGATGAAAGGTGATGTGATCTAGCTGAGCCTCAGTTTAACTGTGTATTGGGGAAAAGTCATAGATCCTTTGCCTTGTCTATCATCATCAACAATTCCCTAGAGGAAAAGTACACCTTCCCCTTGGGTGTGTGTCTCTACCATGAATTGTCTGTTTTACAATGGTTACTTTGATGTTAGTGTATTTTCTGAAGGCATAGTTTTACACAGCTTAGCAAACACTCTGCCTACTGTGCACTGATGGCACACTTGTGCTTCTTTAAGCTTTCGAGGATGCAGACCTCAGCCTGGTTCTGCCATCAGCTCTGTTTGCTGCCGTGGGAACAGCTGGACAAAGGTGTACCTCTGTGAGGCGACTGGTGAGTGTGTCACAAACATGCTTGAGATTGCCCTTTTTCTTCCTGTGAATGTGTCTGTGTGTTGTGTGCAGGTGCCCTCAGGAGGCCAAAGAGAGGGATTTATTTTCATGTAGTTAATATTAAAACTATAAAATATATAATTAAAAGCATGGCTTCACTTTGTTTTTAGAGATTGTAGTATTTTAGTACTATCAGTACTGTTTAGTATTATCAGTACTGTTGAAGAACTTATTTTCTGTCTCAAGACTTGAATATTCATTGTGCTGTTTCCCCTGAATGCCGATTCTTTACATAGTTTTTGCACGAAAGTATCCATGAGGAGGTTGTACAAAGACTGAAAGGTGCCTACTCGCAGATCCGTGTTGGCAACCCCTGGGACCGTGAGTAGCTGGTTTTCTTCTTGAAAGTTGTCCTCTTTTGACAGCCGGTGTTACCTGTATTTCTGACCTTCTGAGTTGGAGGTGGTGGTGGGGTGCCCTTTCCTGAGAGGCCTGAGGGGTATTTGATGACATGTCTTCCTAGGTTAGGACCTCATATTTGACAGGTGTCAGAGTTGAGGTCCTGTTAGTTGGATGGAGTTCTTTTTACTGCTGTTATCCTTTCCAAGCATCACTGTCTGCAGGGAAAGTGTTCGAGTCCCCAGACTTGTCTTCTTCCACTGCTTCCTTCCATAGCAACCAGAGTGGTTGCTAAGATGTCATCCTGCTGGGCATGGTGGTATAAGCCTTTAAGTCCCTCAATCAGGAGGAAGAGGCAGAACTAGTTAATATCTGTGAGTTGGAGGCTAGCCTTGTCTGCATAGTGAGTTCCAGGTAGCTAGGAATATATAATGATATTCCATATTTTTAAAAAGGGGAGTAAGGGGAGGGAGGGGAGGTTTGGGCCTGGAGCAATGGCTCATGGTTAAGACAACACATACTGCTCTTGCAGAGAACCGCAGGGCTCAGTTCCCAGCACCCATATTAGGTGATTCACAACTGCTTTTTGGGGGTGGGGTTGATACAATGTCTCATGGTGTAGTCATGACTGGCC